GGATCGGTCAGAATATTGTTATTATCATCCCTAATTCCAGACGTTACGGGTCCTACATATTTACGTGATCTGTTTATACCTCTGTACATGTCTCTTACGTTATTTTCGATTCTATTAGTTTCTATTTCAATTATTTTATTTTTAAGATACTCCCTTTTTTTATTTTTGAGCAATTTTGTCGTTTCGTTCTTTGAGATTCGGAAGTATTCCCTATTGTCTTCGCTAGGATTATTTAGAGCTTTTAATTTAGCGGCTTTTCTTTTTTCGCACATTTGTAAGCAATCTTCATCAAACCACGGTTTGTTATTCTTATTTTCCTTTTTTCCTAGGCACGAATTACCGACCACTTTAATATTATCCCTGATCTCTACCCATAACTTGTCAATATCCTCGTGGTCCTTGTCAGGGAGCTCTAAAGCTTCAAACCTATTCTTAACATCTAGCTCGAATTGGTTTCTAATTGATGGATTATTTAATTTTTCCAAATTAAAATTCTCAAAATCGAAACGGTTTTCTTTTCTCTTTTTTGTATTAAGTTTTTGTCGAAGTTTCGCGATTACTAATTCATGATCCGACCCACATTCTGCTCCGCGATAAGACCGTACATTAATTATACTGCTTTGCCAGCTGTGTTGTATCAAGACATGATCGATTTGATTTCGTGTTTGCGAATCTGGTGATGTCCAAGTATATTTATGAATATCCTTATGTTTAAACGTCGTACTTTTAATTATCAGGTTTTTCGAGATGGCAAAGTTTATCAGACGGATCCCATTATCATTACTATATTCGTGCAAACTTTCTTTACCAATCGTCGGAATATAAACTTCTTCCCTTCCTACCTTTGCGTTCGCGTCACCTACAATTATTTTCATGTAGTTTCGCGGTAGTTTATCATTCGACCCATTCGAGTTTTTCGTAAAATTCACTTTTGACTTCATCGTTACTGTCTTCGGTCGGACAATGTATGTTTATTAATGCGATTTTAAACCAACGTCCCTGAAATATAGCTACCGAAATTCTATCACTAACGAATTGTACGTCCCTCAAAGCGGATAGTAATCTACTTCTAATTAGAAACCCGGTACCTAAACAATGATTCCCGCTTCCTCCGTACCAAATAGTGTACTTTCCTTCCCTCATCGAGCCCTCTCCTGGCCAGCGAACCTCTTGCAGAGCCACGACATCCAAATTGTACCCATTTACCTCATTCGCGACCGATTTTAGTCCCTCTGCTGTGTTTAAACTCCTTACGTTCCACGTACCAATATTTAAATCCCTATATTTCAACTTGCACCATGAATCCCCTAAAGCAGTCCCCACCCGGAGACCCGAACGGGGGACTAGTTTACCTCCGGATAATGAGCGTTTTACCTTAGGGAGATCCATGACTTTTTGTGGTGTTTGGTGAACTAAAGATATGTGAGTAGGGCGTTCAATCCTACGTCACACCCTCCAGCAAGTCTGGTGGGCCCCTACCTCCAGCAAGTCTGGAGGTCCCCTCCCTCCAGCAAGTCTGGAGGGCCCCTCTCATTGTTGGTCAGCGAGTCCATCGGACTTAGCCGGGAGGAACTTCCAAGGAATTTCCACCGACCATCCCCACATCCGCCACCCGTGGGACGCTCCCCATACGCGGTAATGAGCCCGCGCGAGGATTACGGTCTTTAATTTAGAAAAATCGTTTCCGCAACAAATTTGCCGGATGCTCAGTGGAGACGACAGGGTTCGTAAAAAAAAAAAATAATCAAGAGTCAATTATATATTAATTACTATCAAACGAGCTCCACGCTAGTTATTTGGTTGAATTTGGAAAATAGCGAAAACCATAAAAAATAAATAAATTTAATTAAAAAAAAAGATTGGGACGCGGAGCGAGCTACGAACTCGGAACCTTTGGGTTTAAAAACATATGTTAATTAACCTCATAACCTATCGAACCTTCTTAATTGGTTAATAATGACTTTCTCTATTCCCTCGAATAGGGTTTTACAATTCCTTATTAAACCAAAAAAAAACAACACTATTATATATACATAAAACATGAAAACAAACAGAAAAAAAACAAGAAAATAAAACTGGCTATTATTAATACTAATGATGAATTTACTTATTTCTATTAATTAAAATAACTGTTAAACGAAATGAAAATTATGAACAAGAAATAGATTAATTAGGAAACTAAGAAAATACAATTAACTTTAATTATAAAAAAAAAGAATATAAAATTATTATAGAAATAAACATTAACTTTGACTATACAATAAACCAATTACAAACATTTTTAAAAAAATAGATAGGAAATAAAAACTTATATATACATATTTACAAAATCTCAATGCCGAACTTTGTCCAATTGGCACATTGAATTATCGGAGGAATCGGGATCTTATTCCAGCTAGCGTCGTCAGTGTCTTCCCAATTTATCTCCTCAAGTTGTGAAAATGTTCATTCACCAACTTGTAAGATCGAGCGGCACTCGTCGCTGATAATCACAGGTCCATGAATAGTAAAGAAAATCCGGTGTACACCGTAAAACTAAAGCATTTTACACAACCAAATCTTTAGCGTGAATCAACACTCGCGAGGTTCCGCCATCTCTCTCTCGGCTGTCTTTTGTTTTTCCTCCCAATCAGCTGTTTTCTGTTACACTCACTTAAAAATAATATCTACAATTAATACTTAAAACTAGACTTATTATAAACAATTGCTTATTATTAAAACTGATACTAAATACTTAATTAACTAATACTTAATTATATATTTAACCCTCTTCGAGTTGATAAAAACAACATATTATTATTTATAAAAACTAAAAATTATTTTACGAACTAATATTTTTTTTTTGTATTTTATTTTTCGTTAAAGTATTCGTACACTTCATTATTATTATTATTCTAAATTTTCTCTATTAGTATATTAAACACATTAATATTTAGGGAAAGTTGCCTTTAGGTTGTATATTGTTAGTGACTTTTACTGTATTACTGCGCTGAGTGTTAGCGTAATCCCAATTGTTTCCCCCAATTTGGAGGACCATTGGCTGATTGCGATAAAACGACCGGGCGATGGAGTGGCCACATCTCCATACTCTCATATGATCTGAACAGCAACATAATTTTAATCATATTATTTATACTCATACAATATTATTTTTAATTTTCTTTGTCTAGTCAGATTTTCCCTCCGAACGATCTTAAAAATCTCTTCTGCCCAAATATATACAAAATAATACTAACATCACAGGTAACAACTCTTTTTTTTTTTTTTTTTGTCTGTTTTACTTATTTTATTAAAATATATTAAACTGTGCTTAGATTAGGCTTATATTGATGAAAATTGTTTCCCTTTTTTCTCTCCTAACAATGGAATTTCCCTAAAAAGAAAACTCTTTCACCAAAGTGGAAACCCTGTTCTTCAAAGTCTGGAGGTATTTTGTTGGTCGCTATTGACATAGACAAAGTGTCCAAATGACCAAATAAAAAAAATGTAAAAAGGAAATACCTAAAACTGAATGGATAGTGTAAAGTATTACTTAAATTTAAAAAATAAGAATTAGATGAATAAAATAAATAAAGAAATGGGAACCTCTGTTAACAGTGAGTAGTACAGAGCATACATCAAAGGTTCACAATTCACACACGTTATTAATTTTACGGAAAGTAAACATTAACTGTTAAAATTATTTGTATACATTAAATGTATGGGCAAGTTCCTAAACTCAGGGATCCGTAGTCGCCGAAGAGCTCTGCGCTGAGTTTAGAAACTTGCCCAAGGTAGAAAATTGTTTAAAATATTAATTCAAAGTAGCAAGTGTCATGGCCGCAAGTGCTGTGTAACTTTCATGTCGCTCTGTATTTGTTACTTTGTAATGTGCTCAAAATTCAAATTTGTGGTGTAAGACTTGATCAATACTGACTTAATAAACAGTTTTACACTTTTACGTTGACGTACACGCAGGTGAGGTACTATTTATTAACAATAAACAAGTGATAAATTGGTGCTCATTTGGTTAGGTCGAGTGGCCGTTAATTCCCTTACGTGCCTTATCATATTCCGATAAGTTCACGGTCAAGGGCTATGTTTACTAACTTCCTTCAGTCATCAGGTGAGGTACTATTACGGAGTTGAGCTATGGGGCTCCACTAAGCCATAGAATTCCTCTCGTATCCAATCCTTACAATCCAAAATCCTTCGTACAATACTCACTGCTCCTTAATTTGTCACAAATAAAATAATCCATAACAACCTTTATGTTCCTTATGTTTCTGACCTGGTCCAATCCAGATACCTGTCCTTCCATAACAAACTTCAGAGCCATCCAAACCCTCTCTTTTCTAACCTTGCTTCCTCTTCGATCCCTGACAACCCTCGGAGGCGTCTGAAAAGAAGATGGCTTCGAGATCTCCTTTTATAAATACATTTTTAGTGTGCTACCAGTGGGTAGTTTCTCAACAACTGTTTTCATGTTATATTCTTTTGTTCACATTTACTGAATGTATTTTTATTTGTAATACAGTTGTAAATATCATCAATAACAATAAAAATATATTAATTCATGAAGAAATATAGTTTATTTTACTATTACTCTAATCCGTTTCCGTGTTGTTTATTTTTGTTAACCATAATATTTTTGTATTTTATAGAATAGTAGAATCATCACAATTGGCGTAACAAATTTTATAGTTATAAATAATAATTGTTGACCTGAACAATAGTGTAATGTACCTTAAATACGAATTGAAATATAATTTTTATATGAAATTTTAATGCTATGATTGTAATTCTAAATTAGATATGTCAATGTTACGTTACCTTAAGGATCGATTATAAAGTAGACTATCTTATTTGATTGTGGGAGAAATTTTGGATGTTTAATATGATCTACCTCTATACTGTATAAAATACGTTGCCGTCTTTGGTTGGCCGGTTTGTTGCTACGATTAATTATGAGTACAAATACATCTTTTACTGAGATTGTGTTATAAATTATCTCTTACACGATGTCTCCACATCCCTTAATTTTGACTATTATTAGTATTGTTTGTACTGTGGGAGGTTAGTAATTTTTGCTGGTTTGTATGTTTTGCTATTTGAAAATTTAATTAACGCTTAATGTTTCTGTCATATTATTTGAGATTATGTATTAATAATTTCATTTTGCATTAGATCCATAATGCTATATCAATCAATATTATTGATTAAGCGGAATTTTAAAATTAAAATATTTCTACTGTCCTTAATGAAAGTATAATAACCAATAGAAGTAAAGACTATAAAAAACCATAAATGATGTAAAGATGAGTTTTAAAGTTTTATATAGAAGCTCCATTGTTATAAAAAATGAGTATACTTTACTTTTCAGTTTTTATTGAGAAAAAATAATTATATTAAGATGATATTGTCAGATAATATTTGACTCTGGCAGTTTTAAGTTTATTTACATCTTTTAATTTAAGACAAAATATATTTAACAATAAACAACTATGAAAGAGTGGTGGGCCATCCCTAGTCAATCTATGATAAATAGTTTGTTATATCAAATTGAACTAACTATTAATGGCTAAGCTCGTTAAGCTGTGTTACTTGAATCACCTGGTTGAGAAAGTTATATCTTAGGAGAGGACAAACCTCAATCGATTTTTTAATGCATGCACATTTTATGTGATTAAAATGCACTCTAATAGAGGACAATATTGATTTTATTGATAATACATGACCAACTGACAGATACAATGAAAAGAACTTTATAATTAAAAGAAGATTGGTTTTCATATCATTGATCAGTATATTTGGTACTAGTTCACAAATTTCAGGCCTCATTGGGATGTGGAACAAGATCACGTGATCGCACTATGTATGCTAAACTGAAAAAAGCTGAGTTTGTAAGACGAGTGCATACATCACTGATTTAACTCCTAATTACCCATGATTGAAGGGGCCATAATTTTAGCTCATCAGCTTCATTTCTTCCTTTTAATAAATATAGATAACATTGTAGACTAACTTTTACACTTGTTATCAAAGTGATCTTAAACCACTAGCATCATATTTTTATTAGTATGAGAATATATTAAAGTTCTTATAACGTAATTACAACATGAGTATACATTATTAACTATATTCATAATAATGAAGTTTCAGTAATTTTTAATAACACTTGACATCATTCCATCTTTCAAGTTTGAGGATACTTTTGTGTCTAAATAAAAAAAATAAAGTAATACAAAAATTTTGTGTCCATGTAGTTTCTTTACAGCCATATAAAAGTTAATTAAGAATTTTGATTTTCGTTATTTATTTGGCTAGAAGTGTACAATGTTCCATGAATAAAAACAAGTTTATTACCATAAATAAGATGCAAAATATACCATACATATTATCTGGTGAATTAAAAACAAAAAAATATTGCTCCGCTAATTTAAACATTTTATTGATTGTTTTTTCATTAAATATCTGGAATCTTTCAAAAGCTTTTGAAAGAAAACATTTCCTATTATCCTGGGAATGTTGTCCCTTTAGAATAAATTATAAATACAGAGAAATACCAGTGTGGCCATACATAAATATATAAAGGAAGAAGATGGCCCAGGGTGTCAGTCATAAATAGGCTAAATACATGCAAAACTATTATACTAAAAGCAAGGCTTTCAAGCTTTTAATAAATCAGGCTTTTAATAAAATAGTTTTGCCACTATTTAGCCTATTTATGACCACCACCCCGGACCATCTCCTTCCTTTATAATGTAATAGTCAACTATTGAATATTCAATAAACTAAATATTACAAATATACATACATTTAAATATGTTATATCTCTGAAGCCAGTGCCCAAAAATCGACCTGATCACAGGCGAAGGTTTGATTGTAAATTACGAAAGTGTATGTTACTCTGAGGATCAAAACGAGAAATCCATTACGAAAAATGTGAGAAAAGTTTTTATTGTTTAACTTGTATATATGGTATTAGAGATGTAAAAAACAAAATTGCTAAGGCAGGCCACCAAGGGATAACTTTTTACAGCCAAAAAAGTCAGATTTTTACGATATTTTTTTGGTTTTTCTCCTATAACTCCTAAACGATGCATCAAAACGAAAAATATATTCTTTAATAAATTAAAGAATGTTAAATTTTGCGTCAAATGAGTACATAAACATTAAAATTTGGTTACATGGTAAGGTATAAAACCACAGTCAACCAACATTGAGTTTTACCAAATTTGTCAAAAACTGAGACAAATTACTATAAATGGCTTCGTAACTTGGAAATATTTATGTGTATTATTGCATAGAAAAAAAAGGATTAATCCTTAAAATCCTAACCATGCTGATAAATATTGTAAACTACTTTGATTATATGTCTGTATTTAAAACCATTTTTATTTCAGTCATTCTCATTTTTCTCTTTCCTTTTAGTTTCAGCTCGTAAAAGTGAATTGGTAACATGTGGCAGTGTTTTAAAATTAAAAAATATTGAGTATAATGTTCGACTTCACTCACATGATGTTAAATATGGAAAAGGAAGTACTCAGCAGTCAGTCACAGCAATTGAACAAATGGAAGATGTGAATTCCCATTGGATCATTAAAGCACCTACAAAGAAATTATGTCCTCGCGGGTAATCACCATTTTATATTCCTTTTTTATATTTTAATACTAGGCTCTAGCTTGGTACCATTAGCCAAGTTATATATTTAATACCATTATTCTTTAGCCAAGTTCAACTTCTCTGGCATATTTAAAGATTTTTTTTAACAACTATGGTCAGTAAGAAATATAAATCTTTTCAACTTATTATAATTGATTTATTGATTTATAATGATTACAAATCTTGGTTTTAATAAATTATTTTTTATTACTTAACTTACACATAAGTTCTAATAATTTATATTTTTCTGCTCCCCTGATATTGTGGGTTTTCCATTTGATGTGGAAGGTTTGATTTCCTTTTAACTGGCACTATAGCAAGATTCCATTGTATTTCGATTAGAAGAATAACAATATATTTTCTTTCTGTTGCAAACTACTTTGATTAAAGTAGTTTACAATAGAAATTTATATTTATGTTGCAAACTACTTTGATTAAAGTAGTTTACAATAGAAATTTATATATATATATGTTGCAAACTACTTTGATTAAAGTAGTTTACAATAGAAATTTATATTTATGTAGCGTTTTCGACTACTGTAGCACTTACTAGACAAATGCTCTAAAATAACCACTATTTACAAAAGACTCATATATATTACTATATTAAGGCCTATTTGGACTTACGGGATCGAGCTTTGGGGCTCTACTAAACCATCAAATTCCTCTTGTATCCAATCCCTACAATCCAAAATCCTTCGTAAAATCCTCAATGCTCCCTACTTTGTCACAAATAAAATCATCCATAATGACCTTAATGTACTATATGTTTCTGATTTAGCTCAATCCAGATACCTATCATTCCATAATAAACTTCTGAACCATCCGATCCCTCTTGTTTCCAACCTTGCTTCCTCTTCTATTCCTGATAACCCTCCGAGGCATCTGAAAAGAAGATGTCCTCGGGACCTTCTAATATAGAAATATAATTGGAGTGCTACCAATGGGTAGTTTCTCTTCATTTTGTACATGTCAAGTTACTTATTTCATATTTACTAGTTGTATTTATCATTATACAGTTGTAAATTTCAATAATAAAAAAAAAAAATATTCATGTTGCAACTGGTTTCATTCTACCGTACCTAGGACCCAAACACTAATTCAGAGAACTAGTGTTCACCCACTGGTCGAAATTCAACCATAGCCATTAAAAATTTGGGTAAACATATAATTAAACAAAAAAAGAGTAAATCACGATTCAAAAATCCTCATTTATTAATATAAACAAAATTTCAATTTCAATTAAAAATCGAGCTTAAACTACTTAAAATTATTTATAAGTAATACAAAATAGACTCATTCAAAAATATTTAATTTCCATTTTAATTTATGTTTGTTATTATCACAATAAATTAATGTTGTGATTAAGCAAGTAAAAAATAAATTAAAATTAGCAATTTCAATTCACTTTAAATCCATTTTTATTCAGAACTTCTCCATAAACAATGTTATTTTTGAATGTTCTGTTATTGCTTAGTGCATAGCCTTGCCCATTGCCATTGAAAATATAAATTTCAATATTTTAAATGAACGTGCTCTACTTGCTGAAACATATAATTGTCCATGGGAAATTATTGGATGTCCCAATAATACAATATTTTTCCAAAAATTTGACCCTGCGATTTGATTATGGTCATAGCAAATGCAGCTATTAATAGGAACATTTTTCTTTAAAAGTCGAATGTAAGTATTGTGTCAGAAAATGTTAAATTAATTCTTGGAATTGAAATTCTTTAATTTAAAGTAGCCCCCGTTAGTACTTCATTCTCATTCGTGTTTCATTAACTAATGCTTGTGCAGTATTTAAGTTAAGAATGAGCACCACTATAGAATTTAATTAGAACATTCCAATAACATTGAATGATATCACATCTTCAAATAATAGTCCAGATTACTTTATTAAATGTAAAATTTTCATTTTATCAAATAACAAAATAATACAAATCGACTTTGCAAAATAAAATGTATCAAATGTTTAAAATGGACCATCTGACCATCTCTGCAACAAATGGTCCAATTTCGATGGTTTTTTTTTATTTTGTAGGAAATTAAGAAAGCTTTAAAACAAAAAATACTGGTATTATCAATAAAGGAATATGTACTGTTTGAGATATTCGCAAATAAAATATAGAATTCATCATAAAAATTTATGCAGCTTGCTTAAAAAAAAAATACTGGTATTGTCAATAAAAAAATGTGTACTTTTTGAGTTAGTCGCAAATAAAATACAGAATTCATCATAAAAATTTATGCAGCTTGTTTTTGGGAAAGTATGTTGTATACATAAATTATAAAGGTTTCAAGGGGAAGACTTAAGCCAAGTTTCATTCAAATCGTTGTAGACGTGTTGGCGCTACAGTCTAAAGCAAATCATGTTTTTCGGCCGACATTTCAAAAGGAAAGGCCTGATGATAATGAAACATACAAAAGCACTTCTAAATATTATCGCGACATAATTTAAGATCATTTACTTTTGATTGTGAGTGGATCAGGTAGTATTTCTCAAGTTTTCGCCGAGAAAATGCCTCTGAGTAGTAGGGTATTTAACATTAATAAGTTAAATATTTTAATGTTTGATTTTAAATTAATATTATTTGATTTTTGTGAATTTCAGGGAGCCAATAAAATGTGGAGATATAGTACGACTCGAGCATCTTTCAACTTCAAAAAATCTTCATTCTCATCATTTTCAGTCACCATTATCTGGATATCAGGAAGTTTCTGCTTTTGGAACTAATGGTATAAATTTGATAACCTATTTTTATTCAAATGCAATTTAATGGTAATTTCAGTGAATTTATTTTTAAAATTAAGTTAAGTGCATAAGCATGGTTGTATCTTTTTAGGTGATGGTGATAGTGGAGACCACTGGTCAATCATTTGCGACGGCAATGTTTGGGAACGTGATGATGAAGTAATGTTAAGACATGTTGATACATCTGTGTAAGTATTTACTAAATTTTACTTTACCTGGATACAAATAAAATGCATTTAATATAGCAATATTAGCTATCATGAGTATTATAATGATTTTATTGAGTGCCCGTTGTTCTTGATTTGAGTTAAAATGGTTAAGTGAATTTAGAAGGTATGGTTGTTATTTTGCTGCATTCCTTCTCATTTTTTAACTTGCATAATTTTTATTGTACTCTTGTATAAAAAATAATATATAGTCTCGTATTATATTTTGGATAAGTTTAATGTAGTAGTTTACATAGTTTCTGTTAGTAATACTTACGTTTCTGAACTGTAAAAACAAATAAATTATGTATTGTGGCAGAGGCTTCAAACTATCTGCCAAAGTTGGCTGTTGAAATATACATAGAAATAAAGACAAAAAACTGTTAACATAAAATAAAATACAAGAAACACTAAAGTATTACGATGAAGATAATATCTAAAACTACTGAATGAAAGGTGGCACCTATCAAATTGTATGTTTTCATGATTACATTATGTCTACTATACAGTTAATTAGATGGTCACAGTACTAAAGTTTTATTTGCCCACCAAATCTGATATTATTACTCAACATTCTCATTGCAGACATTATTTGATGAGAATATTTCCAAACTGGATCTATATATTTTGTTGATATTTCATATAGATAAGTTAAATTACTATACTTAATCTTTCTTTAATAATTTGTTTGAAAAAAAAATTAATTGGAAGTAATTAGTAATAGGTCCTCACATATGGTTGTACTAGCCCTGGAGAAATTTCACTCACAAGTAGTCTCATTATGTTAATCCATTCATTTATCTAAGCTATACTATTATTCTACATCATATAATCTTGAAATTTATAATTATGGGATAGAAAATACAAACCTAATTTAACATTATAAAATAAAGATATAACAGTAAAAACATATTAGAATTGGCAATTACACAAAAATAAATGGAATATACTTTGAAATTATTTGAGAAAAAAAAAACAGAGTGAAATCTACACAATATTTTCTTATAATATCTGTAATAAAGAAATTAATAATATATATCACTAAATTAAAAAAAAAAATTAATAAAAAATTATAAGTTAAGTGCCAACATTAATCAATTGAATTTATTTCAAACAAATTTTCAGGTATCTATCTGTAAGTGGTGAACAATATGGGCAACCAATTAGTGGGCAGATGGAAGTTGTTGGAACGCCTCGTGCAATGGCTTCACAGTGGAAAGCTGCCGAAGGACTTTATGTACATACTAGTGACTTCAACCCAAAAGAAAGTATTTTAAGTCATTCCCATACAGAGTTATAAGTCCTTTTTTAGGTTGTAACTTATTTTTTTTGTGAATTTGTATTCATTTAATTATATTCAGGATATAAATTTATATATTTGGTTTTGAAACCACACATTTGCTGTTCATTAGCAGAGCATAATTTACCAACATTTCAATTAAATATATATTCATAAATAATTTTTATAATTGTCTAGAAATAATATTTTCTTTACTATAATAGTTCATTTGTTATTTTCATCCAACTTTTGTTTGATTCAAAAACAAAATAATTTTTATTATTTCTTTTGCTGTCGCAATCGACTAGGATTTATATTTACCAACAATGTTTCAAATTTTCTTTTCTTTAATGTTAGTAATTATTTCCTCTATTATTTATGTTCAACTTTTGTTGTTATCTTATCTTTGATTTAAAACAGAAAAGATAATTGATCATTTATAGACTCATCAGGATTTAATTAAGTAATAACACTTGAAAATATTTGTGTTACACACCTTTACAATATTCGTTGAAATTTATAAAACTTGAAATAATTATATTGTAATAATATTTTCTTCATGTTAATTAATTAGTTCGTTCATTTGTTATTTTCATCCAACTTTTGTTTGATTCAAAAATAAAATAATTTTTATTATTTCTTTTGCTGTCGCAATCGACTAGAATTTATATTTACCAACAATGTTTCAAATTTTCTTTTCTTTAATGTTAGTAATTATTTCCTCTATTATTTATGTTCAACTTTTGTTGTTATCTTATCTTTGATTTAAAACAGAAAAGATAATTGATCATTTATAGACTCATCAGGATTTAATTAAGTAATAACACTTGAAAATATTTGTGTTACACACCTTTACAATATTAGTTGAAATTTATAAAACTTGAAATAATTATATTGTAATAATATTTTCTTCATGTTAATTAATTAGTTCGTTCATTTGTTATTTTCATCCAACTTTTGTTTGATTCAAAAACAAAATAATTTTTATTATTTCTTTTGCTGTCGCAATCGACTAGAATTTATATTTACCAACAATGTTTCAAATTTTCTTTTCTTTAATGTTAGTAATTATTTCCTCTATTATTTATGTTCAACTTTTGTTGTTATCTTATCTTTGATTTAAAACAGAAAAGATAATTGATCATTTATAGACTCATCAGGATTTAATTAAGTAATAACACTTGAAAATATTTGTGTTACACACCTTTACAATATTAGTTGAAATTTATAAAACTTGAAATAATTATATTATAATAATATTTTCTTCATGTTAATTAATTAGTTTGTTCATTTGTTATTTTCATCCAACTTTTGTTTGATTCAAAAATAAAATAATTTTTATTATTTCTTTTGCTGTCGCAATCGACTAGAATTTATATTTACCAACAATGTTTCAAATTTTCTTTTCTTTAATGTTAGTAATTATTTCCTCTATTATTTATGTTCAACTTTTGTTGTTATCTTATCTTTGATTTAAAACAGAAAAGATAATTGATCATTTATAGACTCATCAGGATTTAATTAAATAATAACACTTGAAAATATTTGTGTTACACACCTTTACAATATTAGTTGAAATTTATAAAACTTGAAATAATTATATTGTAATAATATTTTCTTCATGTTAATTAATTAGTTTGTTCATTTGTTATTTTCATCCAACTTTTGTTTGATTCAAAAACAAAATAATTTTTATTATTTCTTTTGCTGTCGCAATCGACTAGAATTTATATTTACCAACAATGTTTCAAATTTTCTTTTCTTTAATGTTAGTAATTATTTCCTCTATTATTTATGTTCAACTTTTGTTGTTATCTTATCTTTGATTTAAAACAGAAAAGATAATTGATCATTTATAGACTCATCAGGATTTAATTAAGTAATAACACTTGAAAATATTTGTGTTACACACCTTTACAATATTAGTTGAAATTTATAAAACTTGAAATAATTATATTGTAATAATATTTTCTTCATGTTAATTAATTAGTTCGTTCATTTGTTATTTTCATCCAACTTTTGTTTGATTCAAAAACAAAATAATTTTTATTATTTCTTTTGCTGTCGCAATCGACTAGGATTTATATTTACCAACAATGTTTCAAATTTTCTTTTCTTTAATGTTAGTAATTATTTCCTCTATTATTTATGTTCAACTTTTGTTGTTATCTTATCTTTGATTTAAAACAGAAAAGATAATTGATCATTTATAGACTCATCAGGATTTAATTAAGTAATAACACTTGAAAATATTTGTGTTACACACCTTTACAATATTCGTTGAAATTTATAAAACTTGAAATAATTATATTGTAATAATATTTTCTTCATGTTAATTAATTAGTTCGTTCATTTGTTATTTTCATCCAACTTTTGTTTGATTCAAAAATAAAATAATTTTTATTATTTCTTTTGCTGTCGCAATCGACTAGAATTTATATTTACCAACAATGTTTCAAATTTTCTTTTCTTTAATGTTAGTAATTATTTCCTCTATTATTTATGTTCAACTTTTGTTGTTATCTTATCTTTGATTTAAAACAGAAAAGATAATTGATCATTTATAGACTCATCAGGATTTAATTAAGTAATAACACTTGAAAATATTTGTGTTACACACCTTTACAATATTAGTTGAAATTTATAAAACTTGAAATAATTATATTGTAATAATATTTTCTTCATGTTAATTAATTAGTTCGTTCATTTGTTATTTTCATCCAACTTTTGTTTGATTCAAAAACAAAATAATTTTTATTATTTCTTTTGCTGTCGCAATCGACTAGGATTTATATTTACCAACAATGTTTCAAATTTTCTTTTCTTTAATGTTAGTAATTATTTCCTCTATTATTTATGTTCAACTTTTGTTGTTATCTTATCTTTGATTTAAAACAGAAAAGATAATTGATCATTTATAGACTCATCAGGATTTAATTAAGTAATAACACTTGAAAATATTTGTGTTACACACCTTTACAATATTCGTTGAAATTTATAAAACTTGAAATAATTATATTGTAATAATATTTTCTTCATGTTAATTAATTAGTTCGTTCATTTGTTATTTTCATCCAACTTTTGTTTGATTCAAAAATAAAATAATTTTTATTATTTCTTTTGCTGTCGCAATCGACTAGAATTTATATTTACCAACAATGTTTCAAATTTTCTTTTCTTTAATGTTAGTAATTATTTCCTCTATTATTTATGTTCAACTTTTGTTGTTATCTTATCTTTGATTTAAAACAGAAAAGATAATTGATCATTTATAGACTCATCAGGATTTAATTAAGTAATAACACTTGAAAATATTTGTGTTACACACCTTTACAATATTAGTTGAAATTTATAAAACTTGAAATAATTATATTGTAATAATATTTTCTTCATGTTAATTAATTAGTTCGTTCATTTGTTATTTTCATCCAACTTTTGTTTGATTCAAAAATAAAATAATTTTTATTATTTCTTTTGCTGTCGCAATCGACTAGAATTTATATTTACCAACAATGTTTCAAATTTTCTTTTCTTTAATGTTAGTAATTATTTCCTCTATTATTTATGTTCAACTTTTGTTGTTATCTTATCTTTGATTTAAAACAGAAAAGATAATTGATCATTTATAGACTCATCAGGATTTAATTAAGTAATAACACTTGAAAATATTTGTGTTACACACCTTTACAATATTAGTTGAAATTTATAAAACTTGAAATAATTATATTGTAATAATATTTTCTTCATGTTAATTAATTAGTTCGTTCATTTGTTATTTTCATCCAACTTTTGTTTGATTCAAAAACAAAATAATTTTTATTATTTCTTTTGCTGTCGCAATCGACTAGAATTTATATTTACCAACAATGTTTCAAATTTTCTTTTCTTTAATGTTAGTAATTATTTCCTCTATTATTTATGTTCAACTTTTGTTGTTATCTTATCTTTGATTTAAAACAGAAAAGATAATTGATCATTTATAGACTCATCAGGATTTAATTAAGTAATAACACTTGAAAATATTTGTGTTACACACCTTTACAATATTAGTTGAAATTTATAAAACTTGAAATAATTATATTGTAATAACATTTTCTTCATGTTAATTAATTAGTTCGTTCATTTGTTATTTTCATCCAACTTTTGTTTGATTCAAAAACAAAATAATTTTTATTATTTCTTTTGCTGTCGCAATCGACTAGAATTTATATTTACCAACAATGTTTCAAATCTTCTTTTCTTTAATGTTAGTAATTATTTCCTCTATTATTTATGTTCAACTTTTGTTGTTATCTTATCTTTGATTTAAAACAGAAAAGATAATTGATCATTTATAGACTCATCAGGATTTAATTAAGTAATAACACTTGAAAATATTTGTGTTACACACTTTTACTTGTTTGAAATTAGTTGAAATTTATAAAACTTGAAATAATTATATTGTGGGCTTTGAAGTGTACATATTGATGCTGTTTTGTAAAGAAGTTAATGTATTACTGAATCTATCAGTTATTGCTTAGTCATTTACTATTAACCTTAGCACTAATTATAAAAGTGATATTAGAACGTAAAGTTTATACTTATCATGTGACGTTAAATGTCTTATCTGTTGTTCATAACAGTGTAAATAATGATTTATTATCATATCTGTAATATAAATTTTCTTGTTGTATTATAAAATGTATAAATGTATCTTTCTTTTTAAAAGCATTTTTTTTTTTCAGAATATTTGTTAATAATGTAGCTAATAATAATAAAAAATTAAAATATGTTATTTATTTTTTTAACCATATTTTAGTATTATAGTCATTTACATCAAGAAGTTGGCGAAAATGTTGACAAAATCTGGTGTGATTCATAAATTATTAAAAAGTATAGAAATAACTCAAATTGAATCAATCCAATTTATTCATATGTATGAACAAATAATTTAAAAATTTTAATTTATTCTAAAATCTCTACTGACACTATAAAAATCAGTTATGATGTAAATAAAAAAAAAATCATCTGAAAACTTGTTTTATCAACATGTTGACTTTTCTATGACTTTTTTTTGCATTAAAAAATCATTTCCAATTTTATACGAAATTAGGGGAGGGGAAATGGAGTCAGTCGCAATAAACATTTTATTGTGCCAAACATCAAGTAAT